CACCCCAAATCTCTTGCCATCTGCTTGCTTTGAGTACTTATTTATTCACCGATAGATATTAGGTTATGTGGTGCGAGAATGAATTGACACTTCCAAGGGAAGCACGGTCGTTAATGGCGTCCCTTGGTAAACAGCAGAAGTTCCCGATGCAACTTTATTTTCTTTAGTTCCACCCGCAGCATTTGATTCCGTAACAGCCGATTCACCTTTCTTCGGTTCTGGTAGCAGACGACGCAGCGGCGTCTTGTTTCAAGCGGTGAATAACGCTTTGTAGCAGACAAACCGTTCTTCTTTACTGGCGTTGGCAGACAACATGTCTGCTTAAGAAATGTCAGCTCCTTCAGAGCGAGCCAGCCGAGATCTCAATCTCACCAAACACCAAATATGGCCATTGGCAAGATATGTCAAGATACAAACACAAACTTCAAAGCACCGCGCGGGAGCAAACTTGCTGCACATAAAAACAAGCCTCTAAGTTGTCCGTCGAAGGTCTCGAGAGTATGACAGCACCGCAGCCATTCTTGGCAGCGTACAACGCTTTCTCAGAGCGTTGCGGGAACGTTTTGTGACCAGTATTAGGGGTGTGCGATTATTAATATTTTGGAATACGAATCGAATACGAATAGTTAACTTCGAATACCGAATCGTATATCGAATAGTGGAAGGCAGGTGCATCTATTCGCAGAATTTTTATACTCTCATGCCGAAACTGCAGTTACTTTTTTTTTAACTGCAGAACTGCAGTTGATTTTTCAGCATGGCAATTTGTAATCCGAACGAGAATAAAAACACAAGAACGACAATTCTAGTTGTAGGGAAGATTACAAGGCGTCATGCAGAAAAGTCGACTGTTGCACATGGTCAGGTAGGAGGCGCTCCCTTCTAGCGGACACTAGATCTCCAGCCACAGAAAAAACTGTCTCACTCACCACTGAGTGGCAGGTATTGCCATGTATTTGATGCAAAGCTTCGCCAAACTCGGATATCTTAAGCACCCGACAGTTCGCCACCACTCACACGGATCACTTTCTTTCTCTCTCTTTAGCAGTGCCTCCTCCGCGTACTCTACAACTTCCCATTCTGAAGCTGAAACCACTTTGCTTTCCATTGCACTTTTGGCTAAGTGGTCTAATGCCAGCCAAACATCAGCTGCCGGCGTTGAGCCTTCCTCTTATGACTGTGTTGCAGTTACCGGCTGGGTTTCTTCAGCAGCATCACATGAGGCTAGCTCCTGCAGCACCAGAGCTCTTAGCCATAATAATTTTTTCTTTTCGGCTTTAAAAATAGTGGACCTAAAGCGTGGGTCCAAGAACATAGCAAGGCATTCTTCCTTGTCTTCCTCATACAGAGTGAACCTTGCCGGGATGAATCTTGTCAGTTCTGCGGGATATTATGATGCCCCAGCACAATTACTCTGACATTGGAGCATACCGAAAATCATAGAAACTAGGGAAGACAAGGACAGACACTTCTCAGCACTGGCAATATGGCAATAAGAGTGGCATGTAACAATAGCTTCAATGGTTTTACATATTCAGAAGAATCTTTCAACTCGGATTAACCAAATCCATCGATGTAACAGTTAGAGGTAGCAAGCTCCACAGTGTCTGCTTCATTAAGTTCCAGTAGGCGACACAACATTAGATACAGGCTATTCCATCTCGTGTCCACGTCTTACAACAGACGTAGTGCGTCCTGTCCCATCTTTTTTCCGCACTCCTCAAGCCTTTTCTGAGCTGATGAACTATGCTTGCAATGTCCCACAATATGCCTCACTTTCTCGCTGAGGCGATCAATGGCCGGCGAGCGGGACCTTGAGTCAATAATCGCCACTTGAAGCGTAGCCGCGAAGCACGCTCTTTCAGTCCACGGAAGTCTCCTTAACGCAGCACGGATGTTGCGTCCGTTACCCGTCACGAAGGACTTCGCACATTCATTGGGTATCTCCCAGTTATGGCATATTTCGTCTGGAATAGTTGCGATTTTCACAGCACTGTGACTGGCAGCCATGTGTTGAGTGTTCAATGTGAACCGCTTCATCATGAATTTGAGTGAGAAGATGACAGGTGAAGCTCACGCAACTTTCGTTAGCGTACGATGTCCATATGTCGCTTGTAAAGGCAAAAACGGCAGTTCCCCTTTCAAATGCACTGTTTAACTCTGCTTTCACACTTCGGGCTTCGTCATACGTCCTTGGCACCAGCACGCGCGAGAGTGTAGAGCGGCATGGTAGGTGATAGTTGAGAACGGCTTCTGTCAGCAGTTCTTTGAAGCCGCGGTCTTCCACAATGCTGTAAGGCTGTGAATCAAGCGCCACCATGGCGGCATCCTTGTTATTTAACGCTCGCACCCTCTTTTCTGGCAGGGGTTCCGTGCGGCGCGCGAAGTCCGTTGGCGTGTGTTGATATTTTCCTGGCGTACTAGCGGTAATCCCACGATACTCTTTGAACAACGCAGGATGTACTTTAAGATGGTTGAAAAGGGGGCGTTGTCGTACCTGTTGGCGTTTTAAGCGCTGACTCGCGTGCCGTACATTGCACCATCGATGCCGTCACTCTCGCAAAATATTTTTAAATAGCACTCCTCTTTCTTTGTTTTGGTGCCGTTTCCCGTTCGTTCGTCCGCTTTGCAGACGGTTCCCAGCAATCACCTCCATCAGCCGTAACACGGGCAGGCGAACGCGAAGGTGAGCACAGTTTAAAAAAGTCAGAAGTCTCAAGGGAACAGAAACTCGCTGATTACCGCTGCCGATACTGACGCGAATAGTTTAGCCTGAAACCGCCGTGCAGCTATGTTGCTGTCGATGGGTCTTGCTTACCGTAACTGAAACTGAAAGCAAAACTTGCGCTTGCGAGTACGTTCTCGAATATTCGATTAATTTCGAATATTCGTGTTCCGGCGAATATTCGAAAAATACCAGACAGATTACAAATCAAATACGAATATTGAATGCACAGTGTTCGATTCGTATTAAAAATTTCGAATATTCGCCCACCCCTACCAGTAACCTAGTGAGGGACTCAGTCACTACTGTGAAGGTGCATGTGTCACTGCGAAGATTGTGAAGCACGCTTAATTGAGCAACTGCACGCAAGAAGATGTGGTCAAGCATGCTAGCCGAGACCAGAACAAAAACGTGTGCTAGCACATCATCATTAGTTTAGATAAAAAAGAACAGTACTCAATAATACTTACTGGATTTCTGAAAAAATTGATTCTCTGAACGAAGACCAGTTAGGGTATGGTGCTTTGCCCGCTTGCACACGAGAGAGGATGTCCGCCCCAGACATTTTGCTTGGCCACACGCAGTGGTTCGTACTCACGTCGAACCACGACAGGGGGCACTACAACCAAAAAAAGCGCCAAAATTATACGAAGGACGAGTGAAAGAAATGTACACGGCAAGTGCTGACTTACAACAGAATTTTTATTCGGAAGAAACATGAAACTCTCAAAGAACCCAGCAGTGTAACCAGGACTCGTTACAATGTTGGGTGACACCAACGTACAAAGCGACGTGCTGTGAGTACAGAAAAGAGGTAACATGTTTGCGTGTGAAGTGTCCACCAAACCTGAGAAACTACTAACGCTTGTCAGGAATGTCGGGGACAGAGTAGCAGAAGAACATAGAGCGAGGAATATATTGGGTGGGGTTGATTGTCTTCCCGCGACCGTGGCGACAAGACCCGTCGGAAGACCTGATCTGGGTAAAGTTGTCTCCCACTTCATCGAAGAGCGGCTTAAGCTACTCGTAGTGGACAAAGAAGGAGGCTTCGTGGTGCTGCCAGAAGAAGTGTTTTTGGAAAAGGGCAACGAAGCGATACGGATAACTTTAAAGAAGGCAGTGGGAGGTTGTCTCCTAACAAAATTTAAAAAGAATCATTTAAAAAAAATTAGTTGAAATTGTGAATATTTTCAAAGAGATATTTCTGAGCCTTTGGTCCAGGTATGAGACCATAAATGGCAACGATAACAGTTGTTGGATCTCTTTCTAGAATTATGAAAAGATCAGTTATGCTGGTCGTACCATTCTATATCTGCAAAATGTTTGCTGTCCTGTCAGTCAGCACATTCAAAAATATTAAAAAAGGCATTGCTTGTATTGTTTAAGCTCCGGAATAATTAGGTTGTTTTCTCACAAAACGAGCATAGGCTTCAACTTGCAGATTGAAAAATTAAAGATTCAGGTTTTTTCAGAATTAGTGATTTCGGCAGCATGCGACAAATTAGTAAACACGATAATGCCATTCCAGCTCGAGGTGAACTTTTGAAGAGGGAACAAAAAAAGGTTTTGGTCATTCTTTATATTCACCGCTCGTCACATATACTTAAATAGGCAGCATCTAGATACGCAGTTAACGTGTTTTTTTTCGACCCGCAACAAACTAAGCGGATTATGTTCCGTGGTGAACCGGCACAAAGGCAAATTGCAACAAGCGGATCGTAACAGCTGGAACATCAAGCACAGCATCAAATGTGTGCGTGAGCCAATTTTTACTGACTAACAAACAGTGTGATTCATTTCCAGGACCTTCGTTAGCACGTGGAGTGGGAAACGAAGCATAAAGACCTGTCAGCATCTACGGTGCGCCCAGTATCTGCCCGAACACAGTGCCATCTACACATTCTTATAAACAATCCTTTGTTTGTCAGCGCTGGGACTGTGTAGTCCTTCCTTTTTGTTCTTGTCCCTTTCGCGCGCTTTTTTACGATGAACTCATACCAACTCACCCAAATGTTTATTCTCCTTAATGTAACCCCGAGATTCATAATCAAAATTATGATCGAAATGCATACTGTAAGATTCCATGGGTGACGGCAGTTAGTGCAAGTTAATTTTTACTTTTCATGGGCGATTTTCACGAGACAAAAAAGAACACAAAAAACAAATGCCGCTAGATTTCTGTTTGTGTAGCTTTTTTTCCACACTAAATTTCGAAGACACATTGACACCGTTAACAAGTTTACGGATTATTGAAATCCGTCCAGCTGCTCTCCTTTTATTCAATGCATGGCTTCTTCAGAGTAAACGGGTTTCTAAAGTTGAACTTGACAAACTGGCAATTTTCGTAGCAGCATTCCTAGTGAATAAAAAAACACAGGGCAAAAATTAAGTCCAAAGGTTTTAACGTGTAAACGTTTTTTTACCGGTTATTACGACCCCGTGATTACTGAAATTATTAAAAGTGGACACACAAATTATTGCTGCTTCCACGGTTATCTGTTTAATTTTTGAGTGGTTGGAACAGTTAGTTGTTAACGCGCTGAATAAAGTGTGGAGGGCGTTTTATCTAAGCTTTACCGATTCGTTTTTAAAAACCGTGAAAGCTACACCAGAGCAGTGTGTGCCCGTGGGTTACACGCCCAATTAGATAAAATATATTGGGCTTGTTGTCACGATTAGCCAAATAATATTATTACATTTGTTAATTTTAGTTATTTAAGAAGAACCATATACGTAGTTCTAATAAGAACACTGCTGAGCGTCATCGAAACCCGCCAGATCAAATAATGTTTAAAATATTTGGAGCTCGTGGGAAGACGCTATCACTCGTGCAGGGGGTGCAAGAGTGAAGGTGCGAAAACGGGGATAATCTGGATTATCCTCCGCGCTGTTTATAATTCTACCGATATAGTGGTTTTCGATGACGCTCAGTAACTTTAAAAATAAACCCATATGTTCCTATCACTGAATAAAAAAGTACTTAAAATATTTCAGGCAAATATTCGACTTATCGTGAAGAGTACCCTTATACTATGGCCTATAGCCGTACAACACCCATACACGAAATGCGTCACTGTAGCTTTGAGACTTTTTCAAAGCCAAATTGTAAAACAAAATAAACCCCCTGGTTATCGCTCAGGGTAAGTTACACATTTATAAAGCTCGGCTTTACAGGAAGGGCATAGTACAGATGGAAGCCACCTGCAATCAGTAAACATTCCTAAAAAGGCCCATTAATTTTTTTGACAGTCTGGTTGGGACACCCGTGTCAGAACAAAATTAATTTCAGGCGAAAATGTTTTTTTTTTTTTTATTTTACTTTAGAGCAATATTGGCGGCGCGAGACGCGATTTAGGTGGTAGCAGCCTCCTTTCCTCTTGTTTTCTCTCTCGTTATTTCGGGCACGTGGAGGAGAGGTGGATCGGCTTCGCCTTCACGTTGAGGTGGAAAGAGCGAACGACCGAGATGATCGTTTGAGACGTTTTGTGTGTTCTCATCTTTTTCGTTCGTCGTCTCCTGTTTTTTCAAAAATGTGTAACATCAACCAGCTCGCCTGCCTGCTCACTTTATCTTCGAACGTGATGGTAATTCCGGAATGACACATGACGCCATTAACTTTGCCCGCGCAGAATTTCAAATATATCTCTCGGCGCCAATATTGCTCTAAACATTTTTTTTTCGCAAAATCTCTTTTTTTATGTGCTTGTCACAATTAGACTTAAAAAAAAACTTTTTTTTAGGGGTGCTTTAAAGCTATTTCAGACCAGTAGAATATGTGGCAGATTAACTCTATGATTTATATTTGATATCCTGTCTTGAAAGTTTTCAACATGTATGCGTTTTATTTATTTCAGATCGACCTTTTTCAGTGGCATTAAAAAATAAAACAAAATGGTTGCCATAGGGCAACCCTAACACCGTGCAGCGAGCGTAGAGCAAAAACGGTGCCTCAGACAAATATGACTCTATACCGCCCTTTTTTTTTATCGTCGCGACAAATGTTGCCTCATTTCTCATACATTTTATTCAAATTTTGTTCTTTGTCTAGTTTATATATGCCAGGGGGGAGTTTTAGAAGACTGTTTTACATTTGCCATCGGTTGAGTCGGTTCCTGATACGATCCTTAAACGACAGACGCAAAACGAGTTCGCTTCGATCGCAAAGAAAAACAGATAGTTTGCACGCCAAAAGAGCGCGGAAATTCTAGAAAGATGAACGAGAGGAATGGTATTTGCGTATTTCAGAAGCGGCGAGTAAAACGTTCGCTAAAGCAAATCGTGATAAACGACAATTACAAAACATATAAATAAAAGAGGCCTAGGCTAATATTCGCGAAAGATGAATATATTGTAATAGAGAAAGAAAAGAAGGAGCAGAAGGTGAGGATGAGCCAGCGCCCGAAGCAAAAAATTCGCCTGGGCAACCTCCGCAACACTCTCCCCACAGTCATTCATCGTGCATTGTAAAACAATAAACCGCCTAATGTAGTGAACGTCGGTACGCTCTTTAACATCAGAGCTCCTTCCTATCCCCAATTTCGCTCCGGAGCTTTCCAAGGAACGCACAGCTGCCATCACCATAGCGCATTTGAAAGCCAGCACATCTAAGCACCGCCCTCCCCTCCCCCCACACACGCACATCACCGCTCAACCCTGTCAAGCACCGCAAGCGAGACATTTTCAGTGGTTCTTCCGAAGTCGGCGATCACGTCAGGATTCACAGCCACTGGGAAGACTTCCATAAGCTGCGAAACGCCGTGTTTTTTTCTTCAAGACACAGCGCTTCGCAGGTTTGATAATCATGAGGTCAACATCAACTCTTGGGATGGTTTCACAACCATCGTTTCGAAAGCATTCGACAAACCTGAGAGCCGGAAGCAACAAGCAAAGGCAAGCTGTCCCGCCGCTGTCAAACGCAATCTGAGTCAACCACGAGCTCTATCGAAGTCGTCCTTCGTCTCTGTCGACGCCTCGATGAACAGGTGGCCGAGAGCAACAAGATCTGACGCCTTTTTGAAGGATTGCCTCGGAAGCACTTCTCAGTTGTAGCCCGGCAAAACCCCTACACCGTACGGTGTCAAATATCAGAATGCAAAACGCATAAAGAAATGCAGAGCTATCGTATCTGAAAAGCGCCTTTTGAACGCCTCCCCGAGGTTTCCCTAAACACGGTCGGGACCATGAACCTCCCAGAACCGATCCGCACCATCATCCTGAGGAGCTACGACGATATCTCAGTCAACTACGCATGACTGCGTTCACCTCCGGGAAAGCCATCAAGAGAAACCATAAACAAGTTGTACAAAATTAACTGTGTCCCGCTTTCCAGCCTTCCAGTTCTTCGTGCTCGTACACACCTACAGCGCCCGCATCTCAGACGTGTTCCCCTCTCTGCTGTATACAGCCGGCGCAGCATCGCTACAAAGGTGGTTTCATTTGAAATCGAACATGCTTGTCGGGGTGAGTCTTTCAATTGAAAAGAAAAAAAATATGTATGTTATAGCCTTATGTCTGTAAAAAAACAAAACTTTTTCTCATTAAGAAAAAAAATTCGCTGCACAAAATGCATTGATTGGAGCAGGGTGAAAATCTGTTTTTTACCCCGTAACTTTTCTGCCCAGTTCTGTAGGTTGATATGAATACGGAAAGCATACAAAACTGCCAGTAATTGTTTTTGAACGCTTGTTTACCATGCCGTCTATGTTTTAGTCAAAGAAAACTATCTTATTATTTTTCTTAAGTCAGACAAAAAATGCCGAACATCGTCTCTTTGACAACCCGGTTGCATATTCAGAGCCTTGTATCTCAAGAGTCATTGTATTTGTTTCTTACCAAAAACCATGCAGGTGCAGTCCCATACATCGGCTATCGACCGGCATAAGTTTATTATATTTTAGTTTCACGGAATATTTTATATTTAATGTGAAATATCGTCCAAAATTAGGTTGACCAATATTTTGAACCCGCTTCATAAAAAGGAAAATCATTTTTGTCCCTTTTAATTACATTTTTTATTGCTTCCCATCATATAAAGTATCAATTATCTTGACGCGATTTACCCCTTTTTTGTTGTATCTTCACTAGAAGTCAGAAATCGCAACCACGCTCTCGAAACGGCCATACGTAGTTTCCGGAAGTCGACTTTGCTGCAAAAGGTTTGCTGCTTAGTTTCCTGTTAAAGTGCAGCGGGCAAATTTATGCTGATTTAGAACACTCGAGCTTGGCTACATGTTGCATTTTCCTAATTTTGTAATGATCGCTTCTGACATTCCTTAGTCCGATCGTTAGCGGTGCAGTGGATGTTCCATTATCCGATGTCTAAAACCAGGAAAAAAATGGTTGAGAAAACGGAGCGAGCTCTTCATGTAGGCAAACTGGGGTCATATATGTTTGCGCTATACACGGCGTCTAAGGTACGTACAACACGCCTAGCCTCTCGCGCTATAGGCCCCTCTCACCCGTCCCCGCACCCGGCAAGGGCCGCCAATCCATGGTGTGTCTTGTCGCGTGCGATCGAATAACCATGTACGCTCCTGGTCTTTATCGTTAGTATGCGCAGTAAATATATAATATCGCATACCCTTCTTTAAGAAGGAAATGCAGTTTACAAAAAAAAAATCGGGGAATGCACACATAATTTACATAAAGCGAAGACAATTTTTTTTTAGAGAACAGAAATACCAATTGCCGATAAATAGTTACTTTTAATAATTAAGGCTAATATATAATATTAAGGATGCACCTGTACAACAATAATTTGCTGTGCGTTGAATGGTCCAGTTCACAACGAACGTAATATACACTGTTGAAACTTTCAGCGACGGCATCGGCTTGCCACTGCGGAGACGATCGAGCGCGGGGGCGAGCTGAATTTTGCACCGCAGCGGTCGGATGCAGACGAAAAGATTAACAGCGTGGAAAGTCGAGACGTACAGAACGAAAGCCGGAAGCAAAGTGAGTTAGTGGTGAACCCGAGAAGGTGGTCCTTCTGTTTGAACGAGTGTGTGCAGTTAAAATAAACATCATCTTAGGATTATATTTTCTGACATAAACGAACGCCCTCACTGACTGCGAAAACAGTGAGTTGCAGATACATACTTATGACGCTCCTGACGAAATACCTTGCCAATCAGTCGCCGTACCTTGGCGCACAATAGTTGACATCCTCCTGCCACCCTTATTTTTTATCGTTAAGGAACTTAAGCCGGATCAGCATTTTCCCGCAACATCCGACCTCATAGAATGCTTCTAAGTAATTTACTAAGGGCATTACTGTTTCGTACGCTAGCGTCGCCTCGTTACAGTACGAAAATGTTAAGTTTATATCTACGCCACAAATGACTCCTAACAGCAGCA